ACGGACATCCCGACGCAGGAGGGATGTGGGAACAGCATTTGAAGGGCATTCTTAAGAAAATGGGTGGCGAAGAAATCCCAGAGTTCCCCGGTAACTTCTGGTTTTCTGGTCCTCGTTTAATGTTATCCACATACGTTGACGACCTCACTTTGGCAGGCCCACGGGAGAACCACCAAAAGTTTTGGTCAGAACTCACAAATGTTGTTAACGTTGAACCACCCGAAGCTATTTACAGAATGCTAGGGAGGAACCACATCTACGCGGTAGTCCCAGATTCAGGAAACACCGAGACCGCTGCTTTGCGCGGTAGTGCTGACGCCCTAATCTTCGACATGAAAGATTACGCGCAGCAAACCATCGACCTCTACAAGTCGGTGGCCGGTGTCGATAAGATAAAGTCAGCCCAGACGCCATTTCTCGTCGACGGCACATTCACCACGGCTGATGAGGAGTCGCCCGGAGAGCTCGCACCAAAGGCATGCTCTATCCTGATGAAGGCTCTTTGGCTTGCCAGGTTAGCGCGGCCTGATATACTTAAGCCGATCAACGATCTGGCCACCAAGGTGCAGAAGTGGACCCGTGTCCACGATAAAAAGCTGCTACGGCTCATTCAGTACATTCAGCACTCACTAGAATATAGACTAACCGCCGTCTGCGGCGATGATGCTAGTGAGCTGTGGCTAGAACTTTTCGTGGACGCCGACTTCGGTGGGGACCAACATGACGTGAAGTCGACCTCAGGGGGGTACTTAGTACTTAAGGGCCCTAACACCCACTATCCATTAGCATGGGTGTCGAAACGGCAGACCTCCACGTCAAGATCCACTACAGAATCGGAAGTAGTGAGCTTGGCCTATTCGTTATATCAAGAAGGGCTACCTTCGCTACAGCTATGGGATAAACTTCTCGGACGGGACGTTAACCTCGTCATACAGGAAGATAACCAAGCCACGATTCTTGTAGTAAGGAAGGGCTTCTCCCCTAAGCTACGGCACATCAGCCGAACACATAAGATAAACCTCAGTTCCTTAAAGGAATGCATCGACGACCCATCTGTCGAAATCAAGTACATCGATACGAATGAACAAGCTGCAGACATTTTTACCAAAGCGTTGCCACCACAAAAGTGGTTCAAAGCGCTATGCTTGCTTGGCATCCGTACAGATTTAAAGTGCTTAGTCCCATCTAAGACAGATAGGAGCCTTCCGAGCAGTTCGAAGCCTTCGTAGGTCGTCGAAACCGCAGCCACCCGGCGCGGTAATTCGTGCATGTACAAAGGAATGCTGCCCCAAAACGGGGAGGGGGGAGTCATTTTCTGTGAACCCCTAGTATGTAACAGCATTCACTACATGTCTATCTAGCTAGCTACGGTTCACCAAGGTACATGAAACATTGTACCCGACCGTCGCTTGCATTGGCTCAAGAAAACACTGCCCCTTGCGGTCGTTTTCTTCAGGGTGCCGTACGGGACGACCTGTGGTCGTTCGTACTTTCGCTTTTGCTTTGCACCTTTCGTCGCATCTCGCACTTTCGTTCGTTCGATTGCTCGCCCGCTCTCGTTCGTTCGCCCCTTTGCAACCACGGGTTCTCGTCCTTCGGACTCGCCCAGGGTTGTAATTAATTTGGACCGTGCTTCCAGGGATCTGGCATACTTCTTCTACCACCTTCCGGTTGAGAGGGTTGCCTGGGCGTTTCCCTACGCCCCACCTGGTTTGTACACTCAATTGAAAAGCGTTTTAAATTGGCAATATAGGACCATAGGATGAGGGATTGGTGGAACATGGTGGAACTAAAAGGGGTTGAAGTAAAGTTGAAGTATATACAAAGGAGGTAAACTAACTGGGCGGGTGTCAAAAAGTTGGCACCCAAGGAAAAGTGGACCAAACTAATGGGGGGGTTATGTTCCTAGTAGCTTCTCGCTCCGAGTAGTATGGCCAGGAGCGCGCCTAGTAGCGTCCTTGCTCCTAGTAGTAAGGCCAGGAGTGGGCTAGAAGGTTTTTGTGGAAAGGCGTTTGTTATTGCAGGACCCTAGGCAGACCAAACTAGGTGGGGGCATGTGAAATCAAATGTCGACATTATATCTGTGGATACATGTATAGAGGTACACATTCTGTTATATACATGTTATACATGTTTTTCTCCATTCGGATTTGATTGAGTGCCCCTTTGGTGGTTGAGGCTCTGTGGTCACCTGGGGGGATCAAGCATTTGGCGGGGACTCCTCATTGGTTGCCTCGCAGCTTCGCAGCGGGATCACCCATGTGTGCGGTACATATGGTGCTTTCGCGGCAGTGAAGGATATGTGATGATATTTGGAAACAAATTGCTGTTTCGTGATACAAGCGCAAAGCAGTGATTCCGCTTGAACTCAATGCACCAGATATCTCCAGATCTTGGGTATCTATATATATATAATGTACCAGTACAGAAGAACAATTGACAATGCTTTGGTGTCCAGTTTCTTTTTTGCTAGGAGGATGGATCTGTGGTGGTGTGGGGGCATCCTGACTATGGTGGTAGCTGCAAAGTTGGGTGGATGCTTACAGAAGCGGTTGTGCTGCTCCTTGGTTTGTCCTTGAGTTTCTCAATCTGCTAAGTTTGCTTCAAAGTACAGTTTGACCTTGTCGGGAGGCAAAAAATCTGCTCTTTCAAGGGCTAGCTAGTTGTTGAACGCTGTTCACGAATTCGCGGTGTGTTTGTTTGTCGTTGGCGTTCAATACAATGTTACTCATGTGCGATGTTCGCTGGGCGGGGATGACTATCGACCCAGGATTTCCGCTACGCAAGCCGCGTTTAGCGTACCTTGCCACAAAGCTCGATTCAGGGAAAATCAGGGCAAGGGATTTGAGACAATTCCTACTGTAGCATGTAAAGTGGTGGAGGTGTGTGCCCCAAATTGCAATAGGAATCTCTCTGCACTCAATACTCGTGTGCAAGTGTGGGTTGCTTGCTGATTGCTTAGGCATTGAAAGCGGATGGGTCCGTTGTAACCTGGGGCGATCCAGAGTTTGGAGGTGATGCTGGTGAGGCTTTGGCAAAGTTTCGCACCGCGGGGAATACACTTTTTGGATGATTGAATTGAGAAACATGTGAATTTATGCACGCAGGGTTAAAGCTTCGCCCAACTTGTTGCAGAACAGGCAGGGCCATTGCTACAATTTGGAGTCAAGCTACTTTCAGCCACGTATGGTGCATTTGCAGCCGAGACTTGGGCCGCAATAAATATACGACTACATCTAGGACCATCTCGGCCCTGTTTTGGTGTAGTGTGCCCGTAGACTGTGGACATCCGCAGTGCAGTGAGCGTCCCCACTTGTACAGGAAGTTCCTGGACTGGTATTGGGTTAGTCCTTGCCTCACTTAAGGTCGTTCAGGCCATGTCCAAAATCACATTTCGTTGTTGAGGTGAAGGAAGATGGCTCCGTGGTGACCTGGGGCAAAGAAGAGATGGGCGGGAAACAGTTCGGATGTGGCAGCCGACTCCTACAAGGTGCGTCCTTGGATTCCTTTTTGCATTCTTATTTTACTTTGAGATGCTTGGAGCCTTCCGTGGCTTTGTGGCTTTGTCGAATCTGAACGTTTGGTTATGCTGTTTGATGAAAACTCTTGCCTGGAGGTGTTTGCAATATTTGCAGCACTTACGGGGCATTCGCTGCCACAAAGGAAGATGGCTCGGTGGTGGTGTGGGGCCACGCGGCGGCTGTTTTGCAATACCATATAATATCATATAATATTATATAACAATACTTAATGATGCAACTGTTCCACTTGAATTACGTGGCTTGTTCACAGCAGCAGAATGCCAATTCTCCGACTGTGTAAAATGCAAAGTGAAGGAACACTGTGGCCTATGCCCGTCAAGCAATGATGCGTTTGCCTCCTCATGATGTGACAGCTAGGTGATTCAGCATGTGGCGGTGATTCTTTTGGGCTGGAACTTCGAAATGTTTCGCGCCCTGGCTGCAGCGCCACAAAAGACGAGAACATGCAACAACAGAATCTCTTGAACTCTTAAACTTGACATCCACCTTTATATATATATATATTATTATATATATGCATACGTTTGAGATCTTGTAATATCATCGGCCCTCGTGCTAGGCAGATATGTGCCACATACAGTGCATTTGCGGCCGTTACAGCAGCAGAAATTGGTGCTACCGTCGTGACTTGGGGTGACCCAGACTGGGGCGGAGATTCTGCTGTGGCACAGGAGTTACAAGACGTGGTGCAGGTGCAGACGGGTTGGAGTCAGTTAGTGTGTGCTCAAGATTATCTAGATTCGATACGAATCGATGCTGAATAATGGTGCCCCAAGATTGTTTGTTTCGGGGTATGTAGCTGGCTGGTATATACATGCTTGTGCTCAGCGTCACTTCCAGGTGTGCAGCACCTATGGAGCATTTGCTGCCTTGAAACTCCGCTCTGAAGATAGATAGGCCACCTTCGGTGCTCTCAGCTTAAAATTGAGAGGAAGGAAGTGAAGGAAGGTGTTGAAAAGGTTGAAACGGCTATATGAGTGCTGCCATGCGACGAGGAGAGGAAATGGCTCTGTCGTGACATGGGGTGATCCGGCTTGCGGTGGTGATTCTTCTGCAGTTGCCAAGAGGCGTTCGGGCTTGATTGAAGACTGCAAGAGCTTGCGTGCAAGGCATGTTACAAGTCGAGACTTGATGCCTTGTGTCTCTCACATCCAGATGAGCTGGCTGCTTTGCCTGCGTGAAGGATAAGAAAGCACGTGATTCAGATTTGCAGCACTTATGGAGCGTTTGCTGCAACAAAAGCAGTTGCCGGGCTTGATATGGTTGTGTATGATTGCAGTAGAGAGCGGGGTGCTTTTTCAAGAAGTGCTTGATCCAGTTGCTTTGGAACCTGATTCTCAGGATGGTTCTGTGGTGGCATGGGGAGACGCAGACTGGGGAGGAGATTCTTCCCATGTTCAAGACCAGCTGTACATGGTTTCATATGTTTGTGGTACTTTTCGTGCATTTCTGGAGCTTCGTGCCAACGGCACCTTCCTTCTGGGAGATGATGCAACTCACTTCAAGCAGAATGAATATGCTGCACACGAGTTTGCACGAGTGTGTAGCACAAGCGTGTGCAGATGCATTGTATTTTGCGCTTGTTTTTTTAAAGCCAAGGGCCTAACGTTCTCTTGTGCTAGGTTTACTAACTCGTCGGTGTGCCATCAAATGTATCTTCAACAAATAGGCTTTTAGACGTTCAGAAGTGCTGCGAGGCATTCGATAGCAGTGACGAGAGTTATGATGGGCTTTTGGTGGGCGTAGTGTCACTGAGTGGCAGTGGGGGCGCTTTTGCAGCCACGAAGGCCGGCCATAAACCATATTCAAAGCCCATGCCTCTACCTGGCCCTGGACGCCAGACATGCAATGTTCCAGTCAAAAGGACGTTTCATGATGCAGCAATATGCAGCATATATTTGGATACATCATGATACATCCACATGATCATTATTTGCATCATGATGCCTTTTGTCCCCTCGAGGTAGATGGCTCGGTTGTGACATGGGGTGAGGCAACATCTGGTGGCAAGTCTTCTGAAGTAGCCCAGCACTTGAAGACTGGGGTGGTATCCGTAGCTTGACTCGTAATTTTTTGATGAGATGAAGGCTGTTGCAGTTTCAAGCTGAGAGAACACCAGCACTTAACTTCAAAGGTTTGCCACACCGCGGGAGCATTTGCTGCACTCAAAGCCAATGGCTCTGTGTGAAGCTGAGAAGGCCTTGTAAGTGATGTTGTAATGCCTTGTACATGTTCATATCAGGTTTGCCAGGTCACATGACTTGACGGTGCCAAATGTCAAAACGTGTCCGTAAGGCGTAGTGACATCGCTTTCCTAGGGCCAGCATTTGGAAGTTTGTGCTTGTAGCGGAAATGATCCTCACAGCTTGTGCACATGCATAGACAGTGACATGCCGAAGCACAGGGCTTGTGAATGTTTGCTAGGTCGTAGCCTGGGGTGATGCTCTATGTGGTGGCGATGCCGAACCCATATCCAAACATTTGGGCAGCTCGGCTTGGCTCAGCAAACGACTAAACTGGGGATGTGTCTTTCAGTTTTGAAATGTCTCCGGTGCAGTGGCCTTTGCATCTTTGAACTCATCCAGCGAAGCTTTTGTTGGGGATGCATGGGTGATGGTACAAATATGTGCTAAGACTAACGGTGACTAACGCAAACCAGACCTGTGGCAGCACAGAGCTGCTCAGACGTGGTTTCAGGTCAAGGCGTCACAAAGGTTTCTGGAATCTCGGCTGGGTGGTGTGCTTTGGTGGACGGATTATGGTGTTTCAGCTGCGCAGCTGTTTCAGAGCCAGCAGATGAGTTCTCAGTGCAATTTGGAGCCTTAAAGCGGATCACTGAATGGAATGGAATGACAGCAGCAATGATTGTGCGGGATTTGCCCTGAGGAATGTACAAGGTTTTTGCAGCCTCCAAGTCTGACGGATACACCGTTGCATTTTGAGCAAGTTGCCTTAACAGTCTTAACATGCTATCATGTAAAACTCAACGTTTGCCTTTGAGGAAAGCTGGTGATGTGGGGAGATGAAGAGCTGGCCTTTCCAGTCCACCCCTTAGCCTTTTGAAGCATAACATGGCCCTACCAGCATGATATATGAAGTAGAGCAGATTTGAGAGCTCGACAGATTATATAAATGGTCACTTGTTGCAGCGTCACCTGAGGTTCAAGAGGTGACCCAGCAGCTCGTCAATGTAACATGTGTTTGTGGCACTGCTCGGGCCTGTGCGGCCCCTGGGATGCACCAGCTGTAGCATATTTTGAGTCTGCAACATTGAGATGGCAGAGACAAGACGACATGGAAATCCCTCAATGATCGTTCTAGCAGTGCCAGCTGTGCACACCACGTGTGTTACTGATTTTCCGCCAGCCATGTGGGCAGGCAGTGAGATCAGATGGCCGCGCACTTTGTCCTGAATTGATCACCCCCCTCGTTTTTCTGAACAAGGAGGTGCGATGACCACGGTGTGTGATATATGATATGATTTATACATTGATTTACTGTATAACATATATATATATGTGTGTGTGTGTGTATGTGTGTGTGATGTATGGCCGCAGTGCAGTGCATTGAAGCAACCTTCCGGCGAATTGAGGTTGTGACATGGGGTGAACGAGCGTGGGGCGGCGACTCCTCAGACGTGTCCCACCAGCTGAAGGAGTCTCCCCATGTTTGTTGCAGTCAGCTGAAATTTGCGAGTTGGAATAAAGTAAAAAGGTAAGGACAGATAGGGCAGCAAGGGACAGCAAGTGCAATCAAAGCACAATGACTTTGCGGCCATGAGATTGGATCTCTACCTGTTTGCCTGTGTTTGCCATGGTGTCGAGGATGTTGTCCAGCTTGCTGCAACTGGTGGTGCGTTTGCTGCGCGAACCAGTCACGGGGTGCCTGCCGTTGCAGTTAATGTGAATGTACTTAGGCTTGCTCAGATTTCCATTTGGCCTGGCTAGTCCTCAATCGGCAACCCAGGTCGTTGTGACCTGGGGTGATGAGAACAGTGGTGGGGACTCTTTGGATGTGTGGGATCAACTTTCTTCTGGAGTGGTGGACTTGTGTCACACGAGCGGGGCCTTTGCTGCTCGCAAGGGCGATGGCTCTGTTGTGCCACGCACTTAGATAGTTGCTCAGTTCAACGTGTGTTGAGGGAGGTTTTCACTAGACATAGCAGTAGTTGGCTTTCTGAGCAGTTGTGATGCTCAGAGAAAAATGGATTCGCAGCACCGGGTTGGGGGTTGGAAGTGACTAGGCTGTTTGATATTGATATTGCATTGCCTTCCATTGTCTTCACCAAGTCATCCCAATCCCAGAATGAAGGAGACGTCGTGTCTGAACAGATCTGAAACAGCACTGAGCAAGCTCTAGGCTCTAGACCTTAGTGAGCCTAGGACTTGGGGCGATGAAGAGCTTGGTGGGAATTCCTTCCAGTCGCTTGCAAGGCATGGCGCGAGGCATTCCAGTTTAGCCAGAGCATTGCGAAGCATGTGGCAATATTGGGGCGTTGGCCAAGCTGACTCAAGCTATGCTAGTGAGTGAGTGGTCGTTGGCTATCAATATCTAAGTGTCGCACGAAGCCAAAGCCATTGGTTCCTTGCAGAGTTGAAACGTGCTGAAGCCGCTGACTAAGTTTAACCTTTGACTGGAACAATGTCAAGCAGCTTTCCAGCACCGGCTATGCATTTGCTGCTGTACGAGCAGATGGCACTGCAGCTTCACCAAACCTCAGGTTTGCTTGGACATGATTGGGCTGTTTGGTAATCAAACATGTAGCAAACCTGCGCTCTTTGAGAGGAACCAGACTCAGGGAGACACAAGAGGGAGGCATACTCAGCTTTTTGATGATTGTTCTTGCTTTTGTTCTTCTTCTTGTTGTGGTGCAAATTACCCTTCAGAAGCACCTTCTGCGCACCGCAAGGTAATATCATGGGGTGACCCTTGTGCTGGTGGAGACTGCACTGCAGTTTCATCTCAGCTTGTAGAAGTTCGGCAGATCTACAGCACATACCGGGCCTTTGCAGCAGTGAAGGACTGGATTTGGGATGGAAAAAACATTCAAAGGGAACCTAAAAGCGATGAGAAGTGACGGCCTCCAACCTAGAAGCGATGGCCTCCAACCAAATAACAATGGCCTCCAACCGGGAACCGGAATGTGTTGTAAACTGCTAACTGTGACATATCCTCATAGACACGAACCAGAGATATAAACGGAATGATGGGGATAGTTGCGCCAAGCCAGCGATCAATCCACCTCATTAAGGCTGGTGGGGCGGTGGTAACCTGGGGTGATCTTCATTGTGGCGGCGACTCGTCCAGTGTCCATGCTGCGTTGCAAGAGGGCGTGCCTCAGCCACAAACGGCTTTTGTCGTTGCGCAGTTGCGTAGCTGTGAAAAATCGTCCTCATCGCACGGGCCCAACATCCACTCGTGATCAAACTTGTGAACCCAGGTTCTCAGCATTTGTGGCAGCTACGGGTCATTCGCTGCTGTGAAAGGAGACGGAACAGTAATAACGTGGGGCGACCCTACAACTGGAGGTGACTCCTCAATGGTGCAGCCAGTTCGCATTCCTGACGCGGATGAATGATGGATGAATGAGCAGTGCTGCGACGCCGTGTGCCAAGAGCAGCTTAGTTTAGAAAAGGCAGGCGTGCTGATCCTTACGTGAATTGCGGCAGACAGCCTGAAGACACAAAGTTTGGTTGCTTTACATGTTTTGTCAGTTAAGTGCTGCGCTCATCCAAGTCAGCTTGTGTTCAAAGGCTGAATGCTATAGCGCAACAGCACAACAGCCTGTCCCCACGCTGACGATGAGCAGTCCTCCAACATTGTTGCCCATATTGTTCTTTTGCAAATGAGTGTGCAACGGAGCATTCTTACATATTCTTACCGCACAAAGTTTATAATTACAGTGTAACGTTGTGAGGGTGTCCAACCTGTTGATCCACGTGCGCCTCGAGAATGTTGAGACACGCCCTTTTTCTCCAGCTCCCAAACTATGCCCCACAAAAGACAAGCATAAATTAGGACAGATTCCAAGAGACTTTCTTCCGGAATCAGGAGAAACTTGGTCAAAAGCCATCCAAAGCAACGTCCCACTGCAGAAGGCTGGCGTTGAAGTGCTGGACTTGTTCCAAAAGCTCGACACGGGAATGGGCTACCTCAGGCGTTGATTGCAATGTTGAAAGCATACACTTGGCTGTTCTGAATCTTGGGAGTGTTCACAGACCCTCAAACTCTGGAAGAAACGGAAAAAGGATGAAAAAGGCAATCCGAATGCAACAGTAGATGTCCATGTCATCTTTTAAGTTGCGCATATGCATATGTACTGCAAGCTTGTGTTGTGTATACAACACATTCGAGTCCAGATGTAAGCGCAATGAAGTGGTTTGCACATCATATATTTACTGTGGTGTACGCGCACGCATATATCAGACCAAAAACATGTCAGTATACATATATATATATGTTTTATATACTGTAATATGCTGTAATCATGTATAATCACGTGTATATATATATATATACGAGCCCATATATATATATATGTATTTACTTCTATAAATGCATACAGTATATATATATATCTATCTATCTATCGATCAATTGAACAAGAGAATACAAAAAAGAAGACAACATGAAGCTCATTCACCCAAGAGGCAGGATCCTAGATGATAGCTATTGGCAGATAGAGTAGGAACTCTTCGACTTTCCTATGGGGAGGGGAATCTGCAAACTGGAAAGGCATGTGTTTCCCCAGTCGAATGCTCGACTTGTCAACACACATTTTGGGCATGTTTTTGCACTTGGATGCTGCGCCTATTTGCTGTTCTTTTGGCTTTTACTTTGATGAAGATGTTGTGAGTGCGACATAGTGTTTGTCACGGATGTGTGCATTGAACCAATGTGATATCACCTTTGGTGGGAAAGGGATCGAAGCGGGGATGTTATGGGTTTTGTTGGATTTGGTGCAGGTAGTGTCCCACCAAGCAACCTATGCTGCCTAGGCCTAGGCCCTAGGCCTTTTTGCGGGCCTATTGAGACCATGCTGAACACCACTGGTGTCGTTGCATATGTGCTAATGGATGTTGCGTCCACCCTCAGTGCGGAAAACAGTTTGCTTGAACATGTCACTTTATTATGGGGACAAACTCTGGTACCTGGTACTGTTGATGGATGAAATCTGGTGCCACCCGAAACAAGCAGTTGCCCGAAACATCCCCGAGCAGAAATAATTAGGCCACGGATGCCTGGCATCCAGAGGCACCATACATTAGGAGCAAGGACGCTAGGGGCTCCTGGCCTTACTACTAGGAGCAAGAACCTACTAGGAGCAAAGGGCATGGGTACTATGAGCAAGGACGCTACTAGTAACTCAAGTCACAGCTTGCAATTGCGTCGGCAGTGGAGGATGGAACACGTCATGGATTACATGGGGTCAATCTCCTGCAGTGTTCTCAGCATATGGCACACGTATATCACGAAAGCTAGCATGCTAGCTGAGTTCTTCTTTGCTTTAGCAATGTTGTGGTGGGAGGGGCTGCGTGCCTTAAAGATTGATATATCAAGCTAACCCCCCCCCCCGCGGTTCAACTCCCAGCTGCGCCGCTTCGCTTATTGTTGTGGTGCATACCACCATTCCACTGAATGCATGATGTGTCCTTTACTGTCTTTCTTAACAGCTACAGGTTCAGAGAAACACCCGGCCGGGCAGACAGGGACACCTTACTGCGTGGCGCTTCATTGCAGTCCTCTACTGCTTCAAGACCCGGAGGGGGCTGCACCCACACATCAAAAATGCAAGAAATGCTTGCCATTGCTTTTAGAAAATCTGGGGGGTAAATTTACCCCCCGCTTTTGGATGCCTTTGCCGGTTCTTTGGGGCAGTCCAGGGGAGGCTTCAAGTTCTATTTGCACCCACACATCAGATAATGCAAGAAATGCTTGCCATAGCTTCTACAAAATCTGAGGGGTCAATTTACCCCCCACTTTTGGAGGCCTTTGCCGGTTACAAAGTATCAGTTATATAAACGTAAGTCAAGCTTCTTTGGGGCAGTCCAGAGAGGGCCTCCAGCTCTATTTGCACCCACACATCAGTGATGCAAGAAATGCTTGCCATAGCTTCTACAAAATCTGAGGGGTAAATTTACCCAATAGAGCACTCTTATTTCTCCTCAGCCTTTCATAAGCACTCTTATTTGTCCTGCTTTAACTTTTTTCCTCTTTACAATTCTCAGCCGAAAAAGTCCGGTGCGCTTCCGCTAGCTTTCGACCTCCTCCCCCTGGCCTCAAGTACATCACAGGAGTTTGCCCCAAAAAGACATGTGCGCAATTGTATACATGCCTGGGATCACCTAGGCTTAATAAACTTAGGATGAATTGGCAAGTTCTGCATCAACATCCTCTAGGAACGAGAAAGATCAATAATCGACGATGTTCTTCAATGCCTGGAGCGCCTAAGGAGACAAGTGAGTTAGGATCCAATTTGCAAAAGAAACTGCGGCTGCGACTGACTGGCAGGTATGAGGACATTGCTATGATGGCCCGCACCTTCGATCCAGCTTTGACTGGTCAACAGTCCGTGACTCAAGTTCACTTTCGTTGCGTGTGCATGTCAGCTGTTACTTATAAGTGATGACAACAAACATCCAGAAACTTCAAGAAACTCAAGGCTGGACGCGTTGTTCCGTCATTTTGATCCAAGAGCTTCTGGCATTGTGGACTTCGAAGGTGGGAGCTGGTAAGTTCCTTGTCAACTTTGTAATTCGCAATTTCTTGTTTCTCCTGCACAGGCTTCAAGCGTGGCCTGGGATTCATGACGACAGAACAGAAAAATGTTGTGGATCAGGTGGGGGTGGTTTGAAGAAAGGGCTGTCGCGCCGTCAAAGTCAAGAACTGTTTGCTCTCAACAGCATGCATTTACAGCTTGTCCATGGATGGAAGGGCTGAATGTGAAAGCTCTTGCAGCCAGTGTTTGCCCCAAGAACTTGCTCCACTGAAAGTGTGGTGATCCAATGGCACATAATGGCACCATACACTAGGAGCAAGAAGCTACTAGGAGCAAAGGGCATCGCTACTAGGAGCAATGACGCTACTAGGGGCTCCTGGCCATACTACTAGGACCAAGAAGCTACTAGGAGCAAAGGGCATCGGTACTAGGAGCAATGACGCTACTAGGAGCTCCTGGCCTTACTACTAGGAGCAAGAAGCTACTAGGAGCAAAGGGCATCGCTACTACTAGGGGCTCCTGGCCTTACTACCAGGACCAAGAAGCTACTAGGAGCAAAGAGCATCGCTACTAGGAACAAGGACGCTACTAGGGGCTCCTGGCCTTACCACTAGGAGCAACAAGCTACTAGGAGCAAAGGGCATCGCTACTAGAAACAAGGACGCTACTAGAGGCTCGTGGCCTTACTACTGGGAGCAAGAAGCTACTAGGAGCAAAGGGCATCGCTACTAGAAACAAGGACACTACTAGGGGCTGCTGGCCTTACTACTAGAAGCAAAGGGCATCGCTACTAGGAACAAGGACACTACTAGGGGCTCCTGGCCTTACTCCTGGGAGCAAGAAGCTACTAGGAGCAAAGGGCATCGCTACTAGAAACAAGGACACTACTAGGGGCTGCTGGCCTTACTACTAGAAGCAAAGGGCATCGCTACTAGGAACAAAGACACTACTAGGGGCTCCTGGCCTTACTACTGGGAGCAAGAAGCTACTAGGAGCAAGGACGGTACTAGGAGCAAAGGGCATCGCTACTAGGAGCAAGAACGCTACTAGAAGCAAAGGGCATCGCTATTAGGAGCAAGGACGCTACTAGGGGCTCCTGGTCGCACTACTAGGAGCAAAGGGCATCGCTACTAGGTGCAAGGACGCTACTAGGGCTCCTGGCCATACTACTAGGAGCAAGAAGCTACTAGGAGCAAGGACGGTACTAGGAGCAAAGGGCATCGCTATTAGGAGCAAGGACGCTACTAGGGGCTCCTGGCCATACTACTAGGAGCAAGAAGCTACTAGGAGCAAGGACGGTACTTGGCATCGCTACTAGGAGCAAAGGGCATCGCTCATCACCGGTCTATTGATCTTGGTGCTGTTTGGTTTGCCAGGCACTGATGTCTCGAATTGCTCAAGCCGCCCAAAGCCTTTATGCACGAGGTTTGTCACGCAAGGATCAAGAAGGATGCAACATGAAAACATAGGATGTCATAGTCATGAGTTAATAGTGAAAGGAGAATGGCAAGATGCTGCGACATGGGCATTGCGGTTTCATTACCAGGCTGCAGTGTACAAGATGCCTTCGCTATCTTCGACTACAATCGTCGCTTTGTTGCGTGTTGATAAAAGTTCTGAAACTGATGTGATGTGAGTTTGCAGTTTGCGAATTGCAGCCTGCTTTTGGGGAGCAAGTATATATACATGTATATACGAGGCAACGGGTTCTTGGACCAGACAGAGTTCTATCGCTTTTTGATTGCCTGCGACTGCAGGGCCGAAGTCTTAGCGGAAGTGAAATGCATTGCACCTGACCGGGTGAAGAGACACTACTGTACTACTACATGCTTAGTACATGCTTGCTTGCATGCTTGCATGTATGGAATGTTTTTGTTACGAATGTGTCAGACGAATGCATGCTATTCGACGAAAGCGTGTAGAGCAGCGATTTGTGGACTATCATTGGGGATGTTGGAGTA